AAAGCAAATTCGTAGTGCAGAAGTCTTGAAACCTTACTCAATCATAACTAATAAAAGCTTTTAGCATCAGCATCAATATTTGTCCTTCCCAGTAATGGCACACGTAAGATCTACGCGACAAGAGCTCCCACACCGCATCCTTACAAGTGGGTATCTGCATGCAGGGAACGTGTTTAGTAACATACCTGGCCTGGAGACTCATTGCCTTGGAGGAGAACTTTGGCAGTGAGAGGAGGCGGCAGCTGCGTGCTCACAATCCTAAAAGGACAAAACAAAGTCATCCATGAGCAGAGTGGCATTTCCTGAAGCTCAGCCATAGACTCCCATCACTCCGGGCATCAGGACAGGCAGAGCCAGCAGCAATGCTCGCACTAGACTTTTACTTGTACTCTGAGCAAAACTGACGGTGCTGCAGGGCCCCATTTCACAGCTGGGTGATCTCTGGGGGAGTCTCTAGGGTTCCGCTGCACCCACCTCTCCCGGTCCTGCCAGACACTCTGCAAGGGTTGAAGGGCCAGCCCCAGACACGGGCTGGAGCTAACACATTGCCAAACAAGAGGAACACAAGCTGGGTGACCATCGGGACTCTCATTTTCTTCTTTTCTTTGGATCAGTTCCACTCTAAACTCAGGAAAACCGCCTGCAGGCGTTTACTTTGGGCCAACAAATCTGGTTTTGCTGAGTCAAGACCTAAGACAGACCAATCCATACAGGCTGCCTGCCACCCCATGAAGAGCTGTGGGCAGTGGAGAAGATTCGGAAAGACTAGCACTCAAAGTACTGCAGCACAGGCCCCTTGGACAGGGCTTCCAAAGGTATTCTCAGTCTTTCCGTTTACGTCTTGTTGAGATCCACATTCTGGAGAGTCTCAAAAAAACTCTAAAGAAGGAGAAGTGTAACTCAGGTACAAAGCCCTTTGCAGCGCTGTAGTGAGATTCAGAGTTCAGAGAACTCTGATGACGTTTGGTGAAAAAAAAAAATCTCTACCAGACAGACCAGCAATACGAGAGACACGCTGGTGATGGGCAGACGCAGGACAAGACTCCATTCTGAAGTCAGACTTTCACTTCCACTGCAACATGCTGCCAGCTTTAAGGTGCTGCCGTGACTCACGCTCAGTGTCCTGCTTGCACGTATGAGATCATTCCCTTAAAAATGCCTGGCCTGCCTCTGTCAGACCTGGAAAGATGCACGCATCGTGGCATATTGCCAGTGCTCATAAAAGGTGCTACAGGAACAGTCTATGCCAAAGGAAAAATGTGCTTGAATGTTATTGCCAAGAAATTCTCAGAATCCCCCACCTCCTGTCTTTCAAGGCCACCTTCGAGGCTTCCCCTGATGTCGTTCAGTGCCACACCTGCAGCATCTTCAGCTATGATCGGCTGAAAGAAGGCAGCATTTCTTGCGGGAAATGCTGGCTCGTTCTTCTGCGCACTTTCTACCAGTATAGACAGTGGTCCTGGCCAACAAGTCAGTCAAAAAATACATACATACAGACACACGCACACGTGCGCTGTATTTGCAAGACTGCAAAGAGAACACCAAGGGGAAAGAATAATATTCACACGTCTTTCTTTTCCTTGCTGACTTCCACCTAAAAAGCTCAAGAAGTTCAGTCTTCACATCCTGCTGAATATCAAAGACAGCAGATTACTACTAAAACCCAAACCTTGAATTTCTTCATGCTTCCATTTCTCCTACTGATAAACACAAATAACCATTTATCCTCTTTGAAATACACCAGCAGACAGGGATTACCTTGCCTGAAGCATTGATGTTCCTGCCAATTACAAACAGCAGCCCTGTGTGTACAGCTGGTGCCCTTGCTCTGCTCCCTGGATGCACTCTGGGATCACAGTCCTGGGAAGGGGCAGATTTAACGCGCGGGTTAACCCTTTGGGTAATGCCTGATTACTTACAAGCCTTTGTAGAGAATGCAGCCTGCCAAGACATGGGGAGACCGCTGGCAAGTTTGCAAGATGAGAGCTGCTTTCAGTAAGAGCAGGGGGTCCACCTAGACAAGGAGAACCACAAGAAGTTGGGCCAGAGAATCCTGGGAAATGCTCAAAGCAGCAAATAAACACAAAAGCATCGGCACTAAGGCAGCTCTAGAGCCAGACACTGCAGGGGACAGGCTTTTACCTTGGTTTTGTCCAGATTCCAGAGAGAATTGAAAATCTTGTGGAGGTCACTGGTGTTTTTTTGGATGTGTTCAATATATCTGTCCCACTGCCTGCTCAGTTCCTCCTGAGAAAATGCCTGCGGACAACAAAAATCCACACGGCTGTCACTGCACAGGCCTTAATGCATTCAGGATGGTTAGATGCAGTCAATCTGGGACAGTACCTATAAGTGACAAATCTTGTGAGGATAAGGAGGAAGATGATATCGAGAGGAAACTGCTTTAGACTGAACATCTAGGAAACTTTTAGTAGACGCCCTCAGTGCAACAGGAAGATGGGCCTGTACACTTTTCCAGGTTGCAATTCTTTGATACGTGAGCTTGCTCTGACCCTTGCTAGTAGGATATGGGAATCCTACATAAGGGAATAACATAAGGGAATATGCCAGCACGTACGTGCCTGGGGAGAGCTCAGCCAATATGGGAAGTGTTTAAGACCTCTTCCTAGGCAGAAACATCATGGCTGCTGATCTTTAATTACCATGTACGCACGGTGCACAGGTCCATTGTAGAAAGTGAAGAGGCTGATCAGCTGCTCCAGAAACCGTCTACAGCTGACATCAGGGAGCTCAACGGCACAGCCCAGAACCTTTAATACAGAAAGCCGTGAGTGAAGAATGTTTACTGACAAAACCCAGGCATAGCAGGTGACAACAACTCTTATCGCTTTCAAATGAGTATCAAGGGCGTACAAGCAGTTCTGTGGCTGGCAAACATCCCCCAGATTCACAAGTCACAGGAAAAGGAAATTCAAAAATACCCACAGAACAGCCCTGGCACAGACAGGATAAATAAACGATATCAGAAATCCAGCGTTTTAGACACACTCCCTTCCCACGTTAGATGACCTAGCTCGGTGTTCTAATAGCTGAGAACATTTTCCTGAAACTAAGTACTTAGAAATATTCAAATTAACTTGTTATTTACAGCGATGAAGATGCTTCATTTAGTTTTTGAGTTGCCAAGAGAAACAGAAGCGCCAGGCCTTCTGCCTCAGAGAGAGCCCACTGAGCCTGAACAGCACTGCCAATTAAATAGGTCTGACCGGTCTTAGCCCAGTTTCCAGGGGATGGTTTGGGGCATTTCTGTCACGACTCTGCTGCACACTGCTCTTTATATACTAAATATCCGTTGACACTGACAAAGCTCTGCAGCAGGGAATGCTGAGGGTTAGAAGGAAGGAACGGTCAGACTACCAAAAAAGGGAGACTGAGTCCTTATTACAAACTGCAGCACACGGAATCCTGTTTCGAGTCATTGCCAGTAACCCACGGATACACATAACGATGCAGAGCTTAGTGTTTTACAGCCATTGCCAGGCACATCTTAAGAAAACACGTTGGGTGTGGACACACAAATGAGGTACGTGAAGCTTTTTACAGAACAGCTGAAGCGACTGCCACGAACGACACATGCTCGTAGGCGGTGGTAAACAAAATTTAAGTTACCTTGCAATGAAAAGTTGTGCATTGCAAGTTCCCACCCTAGCTCTCCCCAGGTCTATCTGCGTGCAGCCCATACCGCGAAAAGAAGCAGCCCTCTGTTTGATAAAACAGCTCAGACTCCCTCGCAGTTTTAGCTTTGCGACTGCCTCCAGATCCCTTGAACTCACCCACAGATAGTCTCCATCCACTACAACTGCAAACTTGAGCTTCCTCAGCCGAATGAGACTTGGAGGAACTCCAGAAATCTCAGTCATGCAGTGCACCACTCCGGCAATCTGTCCACACAGCAGTTCCTGCTGGTCGGGGAGAGTCTGTCGAGGAAGGCCGGGAAGAAAGACTTTTTTTTTGGTTTTTTCCTTTTAAAAGGACTTGGAAAAAAAATCACTACTGTATTCAGGTATAAATAAAAATGAATTATAAGTTCAATTTAATTATAAATCAAATGCAGTAGCACAGGCAAATTTCTGGGGAAAAAATAACCGGACTGCTTTTTTTCAGGCAGCACAAGGGCCTAGAGCTTATTTAGGGGCACTTTCATCCCTCGTGTGTATTTATTCACACCACCAGAGCAGACCTGGACTCTGCCGGAGGACTCCACTGACCAGAATCCACAGCGGGGGAGCAGAGTGCAACACCACCATGCCCAGCCTCAGAAGCCCGAGGACTTCCGTGCACGGAGTCTGGTGGAGCACCACCCCAGCTGGTTCTAGTTGCATGAGTTTTCTTAAAACTTTTGTGAATACTGGATAAGAATTAATCCAAAGCTCCACCTGGAAGCCTGACCGTTCCTGAACCAGAATTATCAGCACTGACTCACAACACAGGCACTCCTTTACAGGCACTGAAATAAAAGCAGACATTACCTGAGAAGGATAAAAATAACAAATCCCGGCACTTGTAGGATCTCCTTCTTCCTTAACCTTCGAACCATCATAAAGGAAAAAGTAATTCCACCTAAAAAAGCAAAGCATTGACAGAAATGACTGTATGTTTGAAAACTGTTACGCTTCTCCCTCTCCTTTCTATTATTTCAGGTAGAGCAACAAAAAGGTTACGACAAATGAAAGGAGACATGGTTCTTACATAACCACGCCGAGTTTAGACGTGAAAGCAGCGCTAGAGGGGTCCCACGCTATCACACTCGACCACTTTTGTGGGTTTAAGATAGATTCTGTAACCCTGCAGCTGAGACACGAGGAAGGAGATACGGACTTGTGAGATATTCTCCTGTCCTGAGCACACGGAGTAATTATCATTAAGCGTTAACCATGTGCGGTCCAAACAGTTCCCACAACCTGCTGCTTTTCATTTTATTGCTGGCTGTACACGACAGGCCTCAAGGAGGGCAAGGCGGAGGAGGTTTCCTTCAGAAGATGGCCCGCTCCGTAATATTATTCAGCGTGCAATTTCAAGGCCGTATGTATTTAACCACACTTTTTGTCCGCTCCTACTAGTAAGCCGCTAGTTACAAGCTTTGCACACAAGAGCTTTCCAGCGGGAACAGATGAAGTCCGGAACAAAAGCAAAAGGCAACTCAAAAGGAGAAGCCGAAGAGCACAAGTTACTGTCCGGCCAGGAAAACAAGGCTGAATGCCGCCTCAGACCGTCTCTCCGCGCTCCTGGAGCGATTCACCGGAGAGAGGCGAAGCTGTTGAGACCCTGCGTTGGCTTCCAGGAGATGCGGGTCCTGCTCCCGGCTTTGCCGGGCCCCCGGAAGGCGCTCCCCGCCCCCGCGCTCCGTC